CCCCAAAACCCCAAAACCCCAAAACCCCAAAACCCCAAGCCTAAATTTAGACTTGAAGGTTAAATAATTATAAAATTTACCACCAAATGGGGCTATTCGGAAAGAAAAAAGATGAGCACTCAGGATTCATGGGAGACCTCTCTGAGAAGCAGGAGGAAGCTCTGGAAGAATTTAGACAGATTATTAAGGAAGAGAATATCACTGATGACCCAAGATATGACGACTACTACCTCCTCAGGTTCTTAAGAGCAAGAAAATTCAATATTAAGAAAACTTTGGAAATGTTTGAAAATTTCTTAGAGTGGAGAGATGAGAAACAAGCTAATGACGCAATGGTTATTTATAAATGTCCTAATATTGATGAGCTTAAAGAGATTTATCACCATGGATATCACAAAACTGATAAGGAAGGACGTCCGTTCTATATTGACCAGCCTTGCACCTTTGATATTACAGAAGCTCTTTCCATCGCGGACTCTACTGAGTGTGAACAGTATTACATCAGAGAGTATGAAAAGCTATTACACTGGAGACTTCCCGCATGCTCTGAAGCTGCTGGCTATAAAATTGAGCAATCATTTTCTCTCATCAATGTGAAAGGATTTAGTATGGGAAAGCTAAAGGCAAAATCAAGAGAATTTATTAAAATTGCAATAAAAATTGGACAGGATTATTACCCAGAAATTATGGGAAAGATGTTCATCATAAACACTCCATTTGTATTCAAAGCTGCTTGGGCAATTTTCAGTCCTTTCATTGATGCTAAAACAAAGAAGAAAATTACTATGATGGGGTCATCATATAAAAAGGAACTTTTCAAACATGTGGATCCAGAAAATGTTCCAGCTGAAATTGGAGGTGAATGTGAATGAACAAGTCATCCAAAAGGATGATTCTTCGCAGATGAAGGGCCTTGGAATGATCATAAAGGGGATCAATTCTATCAAGAAGCCACAAATAAGCTTCTTGAAGAAGAAAAGCAAAAGGAGTTTGAGCCTGATAGCTTGAGTAATGAATCTATGGACCAAGCTGAACAAGAAAGTAAAGAGGTAGATCAAAACATGGTTGATATTGAACTTGAAGATTCTAACACAAATAATGTGCAAAGCAAGGAAGAAAATAAGTAAGTGAATTCTCCACAACAAGTAAAACCCTATCACGAACTTTAAATTTGACTATTCCCTTTATCACTCTGGTGAAATCCTGACCCCAATATAGCTCCAAAAGAAAGAAAAAGGGTGGATCAAAAGGAGGCTGCTGTCTCTTCCTATGTTGAGCAAAGAAATCTTAAACCCTACCTCCTCCATCTCAGCACTATACCTAAATAGGACCTGCACCAATTTACCTCCATTTGCTATTAAAAGGGATTATACCAATTCAACTATAATTGAAATTATTGGGGTTTTGGGGTTTTGGGGTTTTGGGGTTTTGGGGTTTTGGGGTTTTGGGG